ACAATCAGTGGATCATCCAATTCAATAGCCCCATTCTGCTTTCTTCCTATAACCTTTGATCCAATCGCCCCAAGTGCTATATCTAGCCACCTTTTGAATACCGTCAGCTACTTCCTGTGGTTATGAATTCCACAGGCGCACCACTCCTTGGGTGAAGAAATTTCTCCTCGACTCCTAAAAACTGTCTACCCTGAATCCTCATACTGTGACCCCTGGTTCTGGACACACCCACCATCAGGAACATCCTCTTTGCATCTAACCTATCTAGTCCTGTTAGAATTTCTCAAGTCTCGATCAGATCCCCTCATTCATCTGAACGCCAGCAAAAACAATCCTAACCTAGTCAACCTCTCATCATCCCCAGAATCAGCCCAGTAAACCTATGCTGCATTCCAGCAGCAAGAGCATTCTTCCTCAAAGAGAGGGAGGCCAGAACTGCATACAATATTTTGATGTGGCCTCACCAAGGCCCTGTATAACTGCAACACATCCCCTCTCCTGCACTCAAAACCTCTTGAAGTGAAGGTCAACTTACCATTTGCCTGTTGCACCTCCAAGTTTACCTTCAGCAACTGGTGCACAAGGACACCCAGGTCCACTGCACATTCCCGTCTTCCAATTTGCAGCTATTCAGGTCATAAATCCATCTTGTTTTTGCTTCCAAAGTGAATAACCTCATTTATCCAAATTATACTGCATCTCATCCAAATTATTAATATATTGTGAATAACTAGGGTCCCAGCACTGATCCTTGTGACATCTTATTTGTTACTGCCTGCCAGTTTGAAAAGGACCCATTAATTCCTACTGTTTCCTCTCTCCCAACCAGTTTTCTATCTTAATACACTTCACCCAATCCCATGCACTTTAATCTTGCATAAAAATCTTACGTGGAACTTGGTTAAACACTGAAGGTCCAACTATACCACATCGACTGGCTCCCCCTTGTCAACTCTACTAGTTACACCTTCATAGAACTCCAACAGATTTGTCAAGCACAATTTCCCCTTCATAAATTCATGTTGATCCTGCTGCTACTTTCAAATGCGTCACTATAAAGTCCTTGATAATGGATTTGAGAATTTTCCCCACTACCAACATTAGGTTTACTGGTCTGTAATTCCCTGTTCTCTCTACCACCCTTTTTGCATACAACAGAGTGACAACAGCTACCCTCCAATCCGGAGGGACTGTTCCAGTCTATAGAATCCTGGAAGCCACTTAAGTACTGGATGTACATCAGTCCCTGGAGATTTATCCACCTTCAATCCCAATTTTTCCAGCACCATTTCTCTACTAGCATGGATCTCCCTCAATTCTGCCCTCAGTAAATCTTACACATTCTCCAAGATTTCTGGTATCTGATTTCTGTCCTTTGAGAGGGCAGAACCAAACTATATTAAGTTACTCAGCCATTTATTTATCCCAATTATACATTCTCCCATTTCTGTCCTTAGGGGATCTACATTTGTCTACTCCCCCCAAGTACCTGTACAAACTGTTAGTTAATGTTCCCTGACAACTTAATTCCATACTATTTACCCCTTCTTAAAGAATCCCTTGGTCCTTATGAATTTTAAACTGCTCCCAATCTGCATTTTTCTTGGCATTTCTGTATGCTGCTTCCTTGAACTGGATACTAATTTCCTTTTTAAGCCATGGATTGCTCTCTTACCCATTTTGCTTTTGTGCCAGACAGGAATAAACAGTTCAGAGAATACCTACAGTGTGGAAACAAGCCATTCGGCCCAACAAGTCCACACTGATCCTCTGAAGAGAATTCCACTCAGACCCATCCCCATTCCCTACCCCTGTAGCCCTATATTTCTTGTCGCTAATACACTTAACCTACACATCCCTGGACACAATGGGCAATTTAGCATGGCCAATCCACCTAGCCTGCACATCTTTGGACTGTGGGAAGAAACCCGAGAACCCAGGGGAAAACCCACACAGACGTGGGGGAGAATGTGCAAACCGACAGACAATCGCCCGAGGTTGGGATCGAACCTGGGTCCCTGGCACTGCAAGGAAGCAGTGGTAGCCACTGAGCCACCCAAAGTTAAACTGACAGGTCTGTAGTTCCCTGGTTTTTCCTTACAACCATTAGCCAGCCTCCAGTTATCAGGCACCTCACCTGTAGTTGTAGATGATGCAAATATTTCTGCAAGGGATCTCAATTTCCTTCCTCAACAACGTTCTGGGACACTTTAGATCTGCCCAAGGCTGGAATCAAACCTAGGTTGCTAACACTGAGGCAGCAGTGCTAACCACTGAGCCACTTTTTTGTAGTTGCAGTTCCCACATGTATTCCTTGCATATTTGCAATTGCCTATCCACTGTCATTCCTTTCAGTCACTCTCCCCAATCTACCAAGGCCAAGTCATCCCTCATATCTTCAGAGTTTCCTTCATTAAGATTAGCACCCTATTTCATACTTTCCTTTAAAGGTTGAGCACGCTAGTGTCCAAATCAATTATCTCACTCACCATCTTGATAAACAAAAATGTATTATGTTATGATTGCTCGTCCAAGGGTTCTCTCACAGGCAGATTGGTAATGATTCCCTTCTCATTACAGTACCAGTCTAAGATGGCCTGGTTTTTAGTTGGTTTCTCCACACATTGGTCAAGAAAACCATCCTGTATACATTCCAGAAATTCCTTCTCTACAGCATTGTGGCTAATTTAATTTGCCCAATCAATGTGCAGATCAAAGTCACCCATGATCACCAATATTCCCTTATCCCATGCATTAAACAGGAAATTAGAGATGCCATTCCCAACATCACCAATACAGTTTGGGGCATCTATACATGACACCCACAAATGTTTTTTGCCCCTTGTTGTTATTTCTCCACTCTACCCATACAGCCTCCATGTTGTCAGATCGCAATAGCTAACATCCTGGCACATCCCACTAATGCTTCAACATTTAAACCAAGCAACAGGCACTTCACTCCACTGCTTACCTCAAAGTTTGACAATACACCAATCAATCTAATGAATGTAGTCAGCCACAGTGCCAGCATGTTCAGGCTTGCAACTGTAACACCTCCACGTGTGGAAACTGATGTAATACTGTTTCTTAGCAACTTGAAGACACCAAGTAGTTGAGTGTGGTCACTGATAGGAGTTAGCTTTGACATAGGATTCCAAAAATTTTCGTGGTAGCTGTACCAAGATTTGTAGAGAAAATTCTAAGTACTTGAAGTAGCTGAGGTTAAACTTTCATGCTATAGAATTATTTTTCAGTTTAGAAGTGTGCATTTCTAAGATCCAAAAACCTTAATACAAAAGGCAATGTTGGGACCAAAGGGTTGACATCACTTGAATGTTCCAAAAAAGTTAAATGGCTCAGTTTTTTTAAAGCTGGTTTGAAATGTAATTCTAATTAGTATGAAATTCACATTTTGGTCACTATCATTTCACTCAAAAATCAGCCTATTACAATGACCTGGATTAAAACTGCACACTGTGGCAGAAACAATACTCAACTTTTCCATTCACTACATTTATGTAATTCACTTTTTTGCAACAGCAAATGATACAAGTTACAAGTGATCCCATCCAAGAACTTTGTACTTGGGCAAATATCAATTTGGAAGGGAGACAGGACAAGTAGTGTTCTCTGGAACAATGTTTATTTGGAGCAACTCCAACTTTTAACCTACATTACTGCAATTTAATGTTCTGTGGAAACCAGGCGTGAACCTGGTTATTAAGACAGTAAACAGCAGGTACTGTTTTAACTCTGTCACAAAGTAATATTTAGAAACAGGAACATTTTCACCACTGTTTATTTGGAATAATAAACTTTTGCATCAACTTTTCCAATTATCAAGACTTAGCTTTGAGTACTTACAGGGCAGGCCCTATTCTAGGTTTGAAACTATGCAATAGCCACCACTTCTTCTGTACCATTCTGGAATTTTGTTTATTGTTAGCAGATTAAGCATTCATGTCATTTCCACCCAAATAAACAAAACCTCCAGGTAAAATTTAGTACACGTGCTGTTTCTTAACTGTTCTATGCTTTTACTACTTAAACCCAACTCAATGCCAAAAGTACAAATCACTACAAAGTTGTAGTTTTTTGTACTTTATCTCCAAATTGCCATTCATTGGTAATGATCTGTCTCATTCTGACTGCGTGTAGCCCTACAGATTGTCTGTCCAATCCAGGGTATGATTGAGGGCATTGAAGTTCTTATTTGAAACAAATACAGGCAAATAGCACAAATATTCAATACTGAAAAACCCCATACTGGCTCCTAACCATTAGAAACATTTTTGCACCATGTTCAAAATACACAGTAGCTCCCAATAAGACCATGGATTGTGGTCAATCCTTGGCAGAATGTCAGCTGATATGAACTAGCCAAATCTGATGGACCCATTTCTTCAACCACTCAGGGGCTGTAGTCCCTCTAGCATTAGGAATCCCATTCTTTCCACAAGATAGATCAAAAAAACTAGGATTGTCATAATAGAGTGCAGCAGCTCAATTTACCAGCAGCCCACCTTAATGCTCGACAAAACAAAAAAAATCCAGGTGTTTATCCTACACAAGCTTTTACCTTCCTAGTGAGTTAAAGAGTTCAACTCACAAATATCTCCATGTATGATCTTTAAAAATGCTCACTTCACAACTCAATCATGTGATCTGGCTGCATAGGTAGCCAGAGGTCAACTATAGTATCTACAAGCTTGTGTACACAATCTTCTTAGGGAATGTAAACAGAGGCTTCCATCAAGCTCCTAGTTACTCAGGTCTCACCTCATTTTTTTCTTGTGATAAAGGCAACAAAATCTTGTCAATTTGATGCACTTTAAAGATTGTATCCTGCATTTGTACAAGTTTGCAAGTTCACATTTATGAAATCTAGACCAAGTACTACTAGCATACAAGGATATTTCATCACTTACCAGCAATCTGCTCCTCAGTAAGTTGGTCAGCCTGTTAAGACACAAGGCAAGTCATTATATATAGCTGAGTTTTGGCAAGTTATTAGAAATCATAATGGGCAGACTTTAGAAAGCAATAATCTGAACTTGGCACAACGTATTTACCTTTTGACAGGCAAATTAAGGTTACTGAAACATGCCGTTAGGTATAAGCACTAACTGCTGGAGAAACTCAAGTCCAACAGTGGAGACAAACAATATTTGATTTTGATGACATTTCATCAAGAGTCACTGGACTTAATGTCAACCTGTTTTCCTCCAAATGTTGCCCAAGTGGCTGAGTTTCTCTACTGTTTTATTTCACATCTCCATCTGCAATATTTTGCCTTTATGCTTCAAAGCCATTTCTCCAATTCAGTTTAAAAAGGCAGGTGCATTTTACTGTAAAAAAGAAAAATTTGAAGTAAGCCAACTGTATAGAAGTGGGCAGGGTGGCAATTTCCATAGATATTAGAATACAATCAAGTTCAGCATATACTGCTCTGTATGCTTTCAAGCTAGCTTGAAGACACAATCAATCAATTGACCTGAAAACTAGACATTTTCCTCATGAACAGGACCACAGACAGACAAAGCTGCTAATTTGTCACAACATGGAATTGCCAGAAATGCATTAGAATAAAAAATGCACTGCAGAAATCAGTGTGCAATAAGAATTTTGACAACATCCAGCATCAGAGGGTCGAGTAGTTACACGGCTTCTGTATTTAAAACACCCAGGTAGATTTTTAGAAAGATGCAACCCTCACTATGCTTGCTGAAACTAGTTATTGATATTTTCAGCTGATTAAAGAATTACACATTAAACAAATGCCACAAGTGCACATTCCATACTTTGGAAACATCAATCCATCACACTCCAGAAGTTCACCTAGTAGCGTGGAGCTTTGCATTGAATGTTCTTGGTTCCTAGAATCATTTCTGATACTTCTGGTGATTGTAAGGGCTATTCCAAGGACAAGAACTGTCTATCTTATGTTTCCAGCAGATGAAAGAGACATTGGAGCAATCTGCCTTAGAATGAGCAGGAAGGTGGAGTTATTGGTGTTTTTGCCACGTAGAATCTCTGCTGAATTCCATCAGTTCCCACATTAGAACACAATGCAACAATACTGATGACAAAGGAAATATTTTCAATATCAGACAGGTAATTCCCAGCATTTTGAAGCTGTTTGGATGTCTTTTTCAACCTGCTCAAGATTAGCTTAGATCTTATCAAGCTGAAGGGTTCACATGAAGATGGTCCATCATTGAAAGCTTGCTCAGAATATGTGCATTCCATTTCAACTTCAGCAGGTTTTCTCACTGGTGAATAAAGGGGCTCAGCTAGGTTCAAATCTCCAGTTTTAACAGTTTGAGTTATTGGTAAAAAGGGTTTATTTGATCACCTGCACTGGTAAACACTTAATTTTTGCTTCATTAGCTCAAAAAGCAAGCTTCAAGTGCATCAGTTTCCAGCTTATTTTCTAGGATAGCCAAGTGAAAGCAGTGACATTTAATGCTAGGGGAAAACAGGTCTTGGAAGAAATCATTGAGAATATAATGAAAACTGACTTAGTCAGAAGGGAATTTTAAATACCATGAAGAAAAATGTTCTCCAGGAGGGGGCAGTAATACTTCCTATTCTGCACAAGGTCCTACTGAAAATGATTCAAAACAGTAACAATTCTGCAAGTTTGGGGCCCAGCTGTGAAGCTCAGAAAGGGTGTTTTTAAACTGGCTGGGGACTAAGATGGAAAATATCAGGTGCATCACAGACCACAAGCAGTGGCAACCATCCAGCAAAAGAGATGCGCATTGTGCAGCAGAACTCTTACTGCTTTGTGGCATTTATACCCTTCATAAAACTGATTAGTGCAGTCTTTTTGCAGTTCCAAGTTCATTTTATTTTTGGATCTGACCTGAAGCTTCAATTCCCATCATAACACCTGAAGTCAATCAATTATCTAGTTTAACTGGATAGCTAATATTTTCAGAATGTAAACATTTTAAGTGCATATAGGGGTCAACTTCAAAACTCTGCAACCTTTGAGCATGTTTCACTAATGATGATGAAGAATGTTGATAATGCACTGAAGCAGTTACAAAACCATTTGAAGCCAAATACAAATTCACAACTTCATACCCAGAATGTTACACATTCAGGTAAGTTACAGTTTTAACAATAATTTAGCCATTTCATTGTTATTTGTTTGTTGTACTTGACCCAATGCTTTGTCAGTTGCAGCATCCAATATTAACCAACACCCAAAGTCAGGACAACCATATTCAAAATAAGCTAGCTAGGTCAAAAACAAATTTATTACCACGCAGCTTTTCTAAACTGTTTTACATTACTGATTTACATGTTGGTGCAGGTGTCACTTATAAACAATGAAGATCAACACGAATGCAAGCTAGATCAAGACATAGTACATTCCGGTGGCAAAACAATGATTCACCACTTGAAGCAGAAAAATCTGCAATTACGTAATGTACTTGCAATAAAGGCAATTCTGTGCAACGTTAAGACACTTAGAAGTTTGCTCTGCTCAGTTCGTGCAGTAGATCCCACTTAATTTGAAAGTAATTCCTACAACCAAACAAATTAGCAACCCGCTTAACCAGACGGACCCCATCTAAGCTTAATATGCCGAAAAGAAAACCCGAACAACGATGTAGACTCGGTCGTTTGAATTTCACGAACGGTCTCGCTCAAGCTGTTCTGTAAAAAAAACATAAGCAATAAACCCCAGCACAGGGAAAAGTGATTTTTGAGGGGGTAACAAATTGCAAAGTGGGCATATTAAGAACACCCAGGCTTGCCATCATAAAGTAAACGACGTAAAGTCTGACGGAAATGCAATTGCGCTCCCTTGTTCCCCACCGTTAATAGCGTATCGAGCATAATGCAGCATCCCTCTGCCATTCAATCAGAGCCGTGTCGTAACGGAACGGAGCGGAGAAGAAACAGCACACAGAGACCGGCCAAGCCAGCCCTGGGATGGAGGGGGTGGGGGAAGAGAGAAGAAACAGGCGCACGGACCAGCAGGCTCGTGCTCACATCCCCGCTCGCTTCCTGCCCTCAGTCGCTGCGGAGTGCGCAGCGGATACCGGTCAGCCCCTCTTCACCACCATCATCTTGCTCTGACCATCACCAACCACCACCCAAACCAAAACCGACCAGCATTTATCCTCCATCCGTTCTACCCAACTCCCTCTTCAGATTCAGCACCCACCTGAAAAAAAATTACCTAAACGGCGTGAGCCGCATGACAAGCACCGCCATTTTGATGGCTTTCCCACCCCCACTCACTGTACAACTTATGCTTCTTCAACGTTATCAACACAAAGCAGCCTATTCCTTTGTAAAGGAACATTTTTTTTTAAAAAAATGACAGGAGGTAAAATGTTCCTGCCGGTCGGGCATACGCACCATGTCGAATTTTGTTTTAAAAAAGGGAGAGCACTACGTGCTGACCACAGACACTAACAACAGCAACTCCTTCAACCACCACGATCCCACTGGCGCCGATTACCGCGCTCTTCCTCTACTACCCTCTACATATATACTGTGTATTCTTCCGCCGGCAGCCGCGGAAAGAGGGCTTGGGGCTTGGGGGAGGGGACGTGTGCTGAGGTTCCGGGGGTCAAATGATTTCCATCACCCCGCCTCCACCACCACCTTCCTCCTCGCGTCCCAACCTTCTCTTCCAGCAGATCCTCTCCATTTTTCTGCCTGTGTTGCCGACCGAGTTTCTATCCGTGATTGTGTACGGATCTACATTGCCTAGGCGGACGGTTACAGATTGTATCGGTGGGACGGGGGTGTGAAAGGGGCTCGGTTGCCTTGTTGGCGCGGGGAAGGGTGGGGAGGGAGGACGGTTGGTTTTTGAAGAAGAGGGAGGGGCGCCTCGCGCTGTCGCGCGCCCTCTCTGTGTCTCAGGGACGTGTTGGATGCTTGGGGGAGGGAATAAAGGGGACGTCCGTCAGCTTTGTCTCGCCGACGGCGATTGGTTCAGGCACACCTGCAATGGGGGAATGGATGAGACCCGGCCTGCCATTGGCCGCCGCGTACCTGCAATGCGTCAAGTCCACGGCCGGGCTGATGGCGGCGGCGTCGCTGGAATTAGTTACCGCGGCCTGGTCCAGGTGGAAACTGCTAACCAACACCGAAAGGCAAAAACTAGAGTAGGCAACCCAGCCAGATTATGCTTTGTTATTTAATGCTGTGGTGCTTTAAGTGTTCAGCTCAGTTCTTAACATAGAAACGAGGAGCAGAAAGTAACCATTCGGCCCGTTGAGCTTGTCCTGCCATTTGGTACAATCATGGTTAATCTTGATCTCAATGCCATAATTCAGCTATCTCCCTATACCCCTTGATGCCTTTAAATTCTAAACAATACATTGCTTGAATCTATTCCTACACTTCTTGAATCTGTTCGGTGACGATCTATGCCACCTCCAGTTGAGATTTCCATGTCTCCAGTACCCCTTGAGTAAAGAATTTAAATGACTTAATGGGACCCCTCCCCCAGCTGTGCAAGTGAGCACAGAAATAGGAGGATAAGGTAAATGAGTGGGAGGCTGCAAAGGAAGAGGATGGTCTAGGTTCCTGGGGCAGATAGCAGCTGTACAAGTTGGAAAGGTTGCATCTGAACGACGCTGGGAATGAGTTCCATTTGGGGTGTTTTGCTGGTGCAGTTGGGAGGGCTTTAATTTGACAGGGGCGTGGGAACGAAGAGAGAATAGTGGAGGAGAATATCAGGGTTTGCAGACTACTTGGGTTGGCATCAGAATAGAGAATATTATGTTAATAGGTGAAGTTGGAGTAAGAGAGAAAGGAAATTAAATCCAAATCAGAGTTAATGTACATGTATATAAATACATGAAATATAGTAAATATGATAGAGGAGTTCCAGATGTAGGTTGCAATGTGGAAATATGATGTGACAATAACAGATGTTTGGTGTTAAATATTCCAGGGTATAAGTTTTTTTTAAGAAAAGAGGAGGGGTAGCAGTATTGGTTAAGAAGTACTGGCAAAAAAAAAATTGAGGGTTCAAGAACAAGTCAGTTTGGCTACAGCTAAGGAATTAAAAGGATACAAGTACATTGCTCAGCTTAGTAAAGTGATGGAAGGTGTTATCAACTATGCTATCGAATAGCACCTGCTCAGTGACGCCCAGTTTGGGTTCTGCCAGGGCCACTTAGCTCCTGACCTCATTACAGCCTTGGTTCAAACGTGGACAAAAGAGCTGAATTCCAGAGGTGAGGTGAGAGTGACAGCCCTTGATATCAAGGCTGCAATTGACCGAGTGTGGCACAAGGAGCCCGAGCAAAACTGGAATCAATTGGTATCAGGGGAGCAAACTCTCGGGTGATTGGAGTCATACCTGACACATAGGAAGATGGTCGTGGTTGTTGGAAGTCAATCATCTCAGCTCCAGGTCATCTCTGCAGAAGTTCCTCAGGGCAGTGTCCTCGGCCCAACAACACTTAAGAAGCTTGACACCATCCAAGACAAAGCAGCCTGCTTGATTGGCACTCCATCCACAAGCATCCACTCCCTCCACCAATGCTTAGTAGCAGCATTGTGTATTATCTACAAGATGCACTGCAGAAATTCATCAAAGAATCCTCAGACAGCACCTTCCAAATCCATGACAACTTCCATCTAGAAGGACAAGGGAAGCAGACGTATAGGAACTCCATCACGTCCAAGTTTCCCTCCAAGCCACTCATCATCCTGACTTGGAAATGACATTTCCTTCACTGTTGCTGGCTCAAAATCCTAGTATTCCCTCCCTAATGGCATTGTGGGTCAACCTACAGCAAGTGGACTGCAGTGGTTCAAGAAGGCAGCTCACTACCACCTTCTCAGGGGGAACTAGGGATTGACAAAATGCTGGCCAGCCAGCGACACCCACATCCCACAAATGAATAGAAAAAAAGAGTAGTCTACACACCATGAAGTAGTGCAAAGGATGGAGAGCAACATGTCTGTAAGGAAGTTACAAAGAAATGTCAACATTATAGAGTAGTTACAATAGGAGACTTCAGTTACCCAAATATTGACTGGGATATTAGTAGTGTGAGGGGCAAATGTTCCTAGATTGTATTCGGGTGAGTTTCCTACAGCAGTCTGTGTCCAGTCCAACAAGAGAGGATATATTGTTGGACCTGGACTTTGGAAATTAGGTGGGGCAACGTTTAGGAGAAGTGACCATTGGAGGTATCATAAGATTCAGTATGGTAATAGAGAATGACATGCAACATTGGAGAATAACCAAAATCATTTGGCAGAGAGCTTACTTCAATGGGGCAAAAACAGCTGGGCAAGATTGACTGGAACAAGAAGTTAGCAGAAGAATGTAAGTGAACAATAGGCTACCCCCAAAGAGCAGATGGTACAGTCAAGGTGTATTGCTTCAGATGGGAAAGGTGTGATAAACATTGTGAGTTCCCTGAATTACAACAGAAGTAGAAATTAACATTAGAAAGCAAGTGCGTGGATAACAGAGAAAATACAATTGAGAACCAAAAGGAATGCTGAGTGTTTAGACAAAAGGTGAGAAAACAAACAAAAACAGCAAAACAGAATTATGAGAAAAGATTAACAGTTAACGTAAAGGAGAATCACAAAGACAAAATAATTTGCTGGGAAAGCTGTGCAAGTGAGAAATCAGAGTTAATGTTACAGGTTGAGTGACCCTTCCTCAGAACTGACGTTAGCTAGGAAAATGAGAGACAACAAGGTGCAGGGCTGGATGAACACAGCAGGCCAAGCAGCATCATAGGAGCAGAGAGGCTGACGTTTCGGGCCTAGACCCTTCATCAGAAAAGGGGGAGGGGAAGGGGGTTTTGAAATAAATAGGGAGAGAGTGGGAGGCGGATAGAAGAGGGATAGAGGAGAGGATAGGTGGAGAGGAAACAAACAGGTCGAAGAGGCGGGGATGGGGCCAGGAAAGGTGAGTGTAGGTAGGGAGTTAGGAAGGGGATAGGTCAGTCCAGGGAAGACGGACAGGTCAAGGGGGCGGGATGAGGTTGGTCGGTAGGAGATGGAGGTGCGGCTTGGGGTGGGAGGAGGGGATAGGTGGGAGGAAGAACAGGTTAGGGAGGCAGGGACGAGTTGGACTGGTTTTGGGATGCGGTGGGGGGAGGGGAGATTTTGAAACTTGTGAAATCCACATTGATACCATTGGGCTGCAGGGTTCCCAAGCGGAATATGAGTTGCTGTTCCTGCAACCTTCGGGTGGCATCGTTGTGGCACTGCAGGAGGCCCAGGATGGACATGTCGTCTGAGGAATGGGAGGGGGAGTTGAAATGGTTCGCGACTGGGAGGTGCAGTTGTTTGTTGCGAACCGAGCGTAAGTGTTCTGCAAAGCGGTCCCCGAGTCTCCGCTTGGTTTCCCCGATGTAGAGGAAGCCACACCGGGTACAGCGGATGCAGTATACCACATTGGCAGATGTGCAGGTGAACATCTGCTTGATGTGGAAAGTCTTCTTGGGGCCTGGGATGGGGGTGAGGGAGGAGGTATGGGGGCAGGTGTAGCACTTCCTGCGGTTGCAGGGAAAAGTGCCGGGTGTGGTGGAGCTGGAGGGGAGTGTGGAGCGGACAAGGGAGTCACGGAGAGAGTTGTCCCTCCGGAAAGCAGATAAGGGTGGGGAGGGAAAGATGTCTTTGGTGGTGGGGTCGGATTGCAGATG